CCTCTCTTAATTGTAAATAAATATCTATTAATATTCAATTCCCACCTCTTTAATTTCATGGCCTCCAAATAAGTTTCTTATCTATAAAATGGCCACTGGAGTGCGTCCACTCACCCAAAGGGGAGTATCTTGCTCAGTTAACTGATGCAGTTATTTTATTAAATGTACTCCCATTGTTAATTCATGAGTGGGAATTAATATTTATAAATCAGTCTCTTGTGTCTTTGGTCACTATGAATCAATCACTCAGGTCATTTTTCCTCCAGCTGACATGGTCCCATGTTTCAAGCAGAGGACAATGTTCTGAATAGCCCTTTTCCAACATCTAGTCATAAAATAAGGCTTAACCTGAAATAGCTTGATGCTTCTTTTACCAGAATGGAAGACATCAATTAAATGAGAGTATATGGGTGACTGTATGGCCAATGTGATTCTGCAACCTGTACAATCAGAAAAATGAGAAATTATACCCCATTTGATTCAAATGTATGATTTGTCAAGATCATTGAACGGTGATGTGTAGTAAATAAATAAATAAATAAATAGAAGTAATCTGTTTATAATTTGATGCTGATTTGTTAACTTCTCAATCTGTTCCTTAAGTGGGTTTTACTCTTATAGAACTCCTACTAAAAATAGAAAGATTATTTTGAAATTGTAGTGAATGAACATTTTCCTTTTATTTCTTCATCACTTCTTCCATAATTTTTAGGAGAGTGATTTTTTAAAAAAAAAATCCACAGAAATGTAATCTGATATCATTTTAATAATTCATTTTATATTAATTCTTCTAAGAAACAAATGGTTTAAACACTCATCCACAAATAGATACAGTTAAGAAAAATGGTCTATAAGAAGGTTTTTGTTTTGTTTTGTTTTTAGTTTTGCAAATTCACCTTCCTGTTCAATACCACAAGTTTTTAAAGACACTAGAACCAATTTCTATACTGGAGAAATACACTCTACAAGGGTGCCATTGTTTTTAAGAAAATGTGTCAAACTCAAGTAGAAAAGTAAGATATCTTCAAGTAAGTGCAGTATTGGCAAAAGAATAGATAATTTTATTAATGAAACAGAATAGAGAGACCAGAAATAGACCCACATAAATAGTCAACTGATCTTTGACAAAGGTGCAAAGGAAATACAACAGGGAAAACAGTCTTTTCAACAAATGGCGCTGAGACAAGAGGACAGATGTGCAAACAAAGAAATGAATCTAGATACTGACTCCCAATCTTTCACAAAAATTAACTTAAGTCATAATTGTATAGGTAAAACTAAAAAACTTCTAGAAGGTAGGAGACAATCTATATGTTCTTGGGTATGAAGATGACTCATTAAATTCAACTCCAAAGGCACTCACTCTCCATGAAAAATAATTGGTTGGTTTGAATTCATTAAAATTAAAAACTTCTCAAAGTCAAGAGAATGAGAAGATAAGCTGCAGACTAGAAGAAAACATGCTAATGATATATCTAATAAAGGGCTATTGTACAAAATATAGTCTTAAAATGTAACAGTAAGAAAACAAATAACAAAACTGTGCAAAATATCTGAACAGGTAACTCTATAAAAAAGATGTACAGAGAAGCAACAAAAAGATATTCTACATCACATGCCACAAGGGATATGTAAATCAAAACAAGAATGAGTTATTACTTCACATTTATTAAAATAGCCAAAATCCATAACACTGATGTCAAATGCTGACAAGGATATGGAGCAACAAGTACTCTCCTTCATTGACTGTGGGAATACAAAATAGCACAGCTACTTTGGAAGAGAGTTTGGCAGTTTCTTACAAAACTAAACAGTCTTACCATCCAATCTAGCAATCATACTCCTTGCTATTTATTTAAATGAATTGAAAACTTATGTCCATACAAAAATTTAAAGGCATATATATAAAGAGATTTTTGGTATACACAATTAACCAAAAGAGAAGCAACCAAGAGGGCTGGGGATGTGGCTCAAGTGGTGGTAGCACGCTCGCCTGGCATGCGTGCGGCCCGGGTTTGATCCTCAGCACCACATACCAACAAAGATGTTGTGTCC